AAACACATTAATGTCAACCAGCTTACCATTCTGCACCAAGAATTTAGCTGATGGCCCCTGGGGTATGTTTGCAAGCCTGTAGAGGACAGGTAGTGGGGAAGAGAGAAAAGAGAAGCATTAACAGCAGCCAGAAGCTATGATGGATTTCCACAGTACAGCCAACCTGTCAGTCCTTTATTGAAGTAATTTCTGTTGCTTTTATAGATTGAGTTCCTTTAACAGACTCAAATACTTGATTTCTACATAATTTTGTAAAAGGCTTCTGCAGTCTACAGAAGCTGGTCATGCATTGTAAACTTGCACAATCCACAGAAGTGCAAGATTAGAGCAGATTTGACAAAGCAACACTGTTTCATGCACCTTCACTATTACAGTAAGAAACCTGGGCTAGAACTGAAGCATCAGCAGCTACATACACAAATATAACAAAGCATTTTCTTACCACATGTAGAGATCCTGTTTCTTTTTGGCTTCAAAAAAGATGCACTTATTGCAGTTTTTCATTTCACACACCTACACGAGACACAATAAATTAGCTGTTTACAAACATTTTGAAGACATCTTTGAAAACTTTCCACATTCATCTCTAATATTTTCTCCTTCACAAAATGTAAGTCCAAAAGCAGAGGTCTTGTCTTAACAAATTCCACCTACTGATCCCCAAACTTAAGATGAAACACTTGTTTTGTTGAAAAATCTCAAATATTAATTGCCGGGAGTAATAACTTCCTTAAAGCTACAAACAACTTGATAAGCTCTCCAGAATACCAACATGAGAGCAGGTGCTGTGATATTAGGCTCTAGGCTGAGAACTATCAATGGAGTACTACACAGTTTGGGCTGGCTGCATATTTCTGCCCTGTATTCTTCAAGTATAGACTGTACTACACCTTTCACCTATACAGAACGACACATTCTCTTTTATTTCTTCATGACGAAAGTCTACATTTATATGAAAGTTTCATTTTGGTTTCATTAATCAAAAGTCAAGTTCCTGTTCTAACACAAGTGCTTTTTGAATAATTTTCATCTCTGAAGTTATACAACTCCTGCAACTAGTATGAGATCATTTGAACTTGCTGCCCTTTTCTCTTGCACACTGGATTTCCACAGAAAGTAAAAAAAAAAAAGGCAGTAGAGAAATCCTTAATTACCTCATTAATTACAAACAACTGGTCTTTACGGTCCATTTTAGTATCTGGAAGACAAGAACAACATTTACAAGGCTGGAAAACCAATTTAACACAAGTGGTTCTTCGTTAACAGTCAGTCCTTTTGCAAAAGTTTTACATAAATGAAAAATTAAAAATAACTATCAAGTTATTTCAGTCACGTTACGGAATAAATTAACACAGCAACAAAGCTATCTGTGCACTTGCAAGACTCATGCCATAGAATTCAATTACCAGAAGATATTAAGACACAACAACAGTCGCTGTATTCATTGGCTTGAAAGGGGTTTGATGTTTGTTTAAGAAGCAAGTTTCATCAAAACACTTATGCACCACATTTTTAACAAGGAACAGGTTGTTAGAAGCTGTTGGCTTAAAAGCATTCTGAAAAATCTAACCCTACCTGCTTTAGAGTGAGGCATCAATGTCCTTAAGTCTTGCATTAGGTGCCTTGTTCTGAAATTAATTCCACGAGAAGAGAATATCAGCACTCGCTCCTTGTTTTTCCATTTACCCTAGGAAAAAGACACAAAAGTTACGTGGGAAGTTTCTAGCCTTAATACTATTACAACACAGCAAAAATAGATGTCTGAAGTGCAATTACAGAAAACCCCAGTAAGAACACGTTTTTATCTGCCCACCTGCACAGA